AGTTCATGCAACCAATACTTTTTATAATAATTTTTTGCTTTTCCAAACGATCATTTTCTTGTGCCGCCAAAAATTAATTCAAAGAAATCCTTTCGATTGCGTTTACTTTTACTCTTAAATTAACCACTGTTGTGAGGGTTGCAAAGACAACTTAAATTTTTTTTAGGGGATGCCGACGAAAAAAGTTTCAAAGGAACTGCCTTAATTGGATATTGACCAGTATTGCTCGCTCTTCAGCAATCAATCTTATACTGCAAGATTTTGAAGGTTTTCTTTCTTTATATATACATTTTTTGAGAAATTCGTTGTGCATTGTTGTTGTGTGAAAGAGAACTTTATTCAGTGAAAAAATTATCGCATTGATTCATGACACAATAACAAAATTCATCAAATCATAAGCATAAAACGAAACATTGATAAATACCCGACAGCATTCTAATGGACAGTGAATTATCATATCATATCATATTAATAACAAACCATTAAATAAAATGACAACCATAAAATGCATAATGCAGCATTTAGTAAAACGCATTCAATATGTATAACACAAATCCACATTTTTTAAGTACTGTTCAAAACGATCGATGATAGCGGATTAAATAATTAATGCAAAATATTCTTCCTCTCAAGCATTTTTGATGCATTCTTCAAGGATGGACACCTCCTCCATCCATAACCATCTGAATTTTTCGGGAACCCTCTTCATTTTCATTCGAAAAATTTCCAACAATTTATTCAAAAATGCCACCACACAAACATTGCTCTCTGTTTTCGTATCGGCGCTATAGACGATCGCTGACCACTCCTGCCTGAAGTCAACGACAATCATGATTTCATTCAGTTTTTCTGCATTCATTATGAACTTGAAACATCAAATGATTTCTTCTTAATCCACAAAGAATGTAAAAATGAACTCGTATGACATTTTACTGGCAGTAAAATAAGAAGTATGGAAACTGATGAAAAATGAAACACATTTCTAACAAAACTTACAGTTCATCAAAACGCAACTGAAGTATGCGCAGACTAGCTTTAAGTCCGAAACTTGGCATCGCGTCTGTCGCATAGAGTGTGCTTAAATATCATCAATTTATTCCGTAGGAAATAAGATTCATTTATCAACTGTTTAAAAATTCCATCAAAAAATCGAAGTAATTCTCAACTGACCACGGTAGCGCTACCCGTTTGACAGCTTCCACATGTGCGTCCGTAAATTTCAAGCCAATATGCCTGGCCAAAGCTACTAGCAGTTCTGAAATACGATCAGTTACGATTATGATGACAATAATGAGAAGATGAACAAGCAGTAACAATAATTTGATAGCTACAATAATAATAGTAACCATATGTAATATGAACTTTATTGTAGATATTATTGTTCATTCTGAAGCCGTATTCGATCCACAAAAATTCGTTCGAATGTCCACCGTAACATACAAATATCTGGTCACCATCCGAAATTGTTCTCGTTCCAATCACTTTATAGCACTTAGTTACATTATCCCATAGTGCCATTGCCTAGGAAGATTTTATCAATCGACATTTTGAGCATTCATCAAATGATAAGGTTAAACAGAGAATGACAATTTTATCTGAATGGCAATATTATCATTAAAATAAGGAAAAAATGATGCAACCTGGTAATCATTGGCGTGATTGAGCATGTCGACCAAAGGGATAACTGCCAGCGTGTCACCATTACAATTGTCCACTAGCGGATGTGGTTTGTTCTCGATGTATATACATCTCGTATTCACCACGTGCCATGCCCACAAGAAATGTTGCCATGATGGTTCTTGTTTGGACGGCTTTAATACATCACAGATCTGCGATGGAGAATCGTTAGCAAAACATACTCCTCATTGTCATATTAACTGTGGAAACTACTGACTATGAGTAGAATAAAATATTTGCATTAAATTTTGGTGACTGAAAGTGGTGAATCTTTTATCTGAATGTTTACAAAAGAATAGGAGATTTGTGATGTTTGTGAATCAAAACATATAAATCTATCAAGAATCAAAAAAAGTTTGCACTAAGAATATGCCAAGATGCGAGAACCGTTCAGTTTAGCAACAGGTGATTTGATCCAGTGCTCTTTTTGCTCGAATTTCGCTTTTATCTGACCTATAAACCTTGAAACGCGGATGATAAGAATGAACAATAAGACTGTTCAAATGACCAACTTTCTCGAACATATTCTTAAGTTCAGACTGCTGATTGATCCACATCTGTCGAACTGATAATGGAAGATAGTCTGGATTGATCGCTGATTCGGTAAAAGCTGGGGTTGAGAAAGACTTCGGTAGGATGTCGAGATATGGGGACCATACTGAATCAGTACTTTGTTCGAGAAGAAAAAATACGACCAAAACTTCGAAAGGTTGCAGACGACCCCTGAAATTGATTGCACTTCATCGTTTGAACCGAAAAGAGGAAATATTTTATGATGGCAGATATAAGCATGAATGACTGAACCTCTTCAGAATTTCCTTATATTTTTGTGTATCAGCAATTGCTCCAGCCGTAATCATCAACTTAGGCGGTACCGAAATGATCGTCTCGTTGATTCGGAAAGTGCGCAGTGCAAAGATGCCATATCCCGAATCGTCCGCATCCAAACATCGTCGTATCTCAACCCCATCAAAATGACATCCTTCAGTATGAACCCATTTCAAGAACGTTTCCATATCTGTTCTTAGTCTCTATTGCACTAGTCCTATATGAGATGCATCAGCTATCAATAACAAATTGCTATTCTAGATTATCATGAATACGATTCACGTTAGTCTTGTTATACTATTCTTTTACTTTTTTACAAACTACCACACACACCAGGCATCAAACGTCCTGCTCTAACAGGACATACTACATAGGTGTCTGATAACCTGCAATTATTCTTGTTATCAGCACGAGAATAACGATAGTATATCACTGGTAACGGACGGCAGATATCGCGGTTTATGAGACTATAAGATTAATCATACGCATAACTTATCACATGCTTTATGAGATTATGAAAGATAGGTAACTTAAGCGAATTCTAATCGAACTAAACGAATAACTGAATAAAGTAATTGTAAGGTGAATGTGAAGGTAAAGGCAAAAGTAAAATTAAAGATAACATTCTGCAGATAACACATAAAAATGATCAAATAAAACTGATCGCTCTCGTAACCGATTGAGATCAACGAAAGTTTATAAACAGAGGATATACGATTATAAANATAGATTATAAAGATTGTAAACATTTGCAGAGATATAGTCAGATGTACGGAGGCGACGGTGAGTAAATATGTAGTCCACTTCGAATTGGTTGGAGTCGAGAGCTCTTGATAGGATTGTTGATATAAATGTACTGACATGTGAGATCAGTGCTCTTATGAGATGTTATTTATCTTGAGAGTTAACGATGAACCACAGCATTATATCTTGGCATATAACATTGGAAACTCAGTACGACAAATCAGTGGATATTGCCCTCAAAGTGCATTAGTTGCAGGTGATGATAAAACAAGCACAGCACGTAACGCCATCAAACATCTACGCATCCAAAATGAACCCAGAACAATGCTTCCAATTCCAATTGAAATCACATCCACATTCATATTCGAAATGAGTTTCTGGCTGATGTGTGGAAAAGAATGCGATATTATAGCAAAGATTTGGGGTAAACAAACTGTCTGATGACTTCTTGCATTCAGAAGACAACAAAGACAGTTGCACGAACCAGTCAATGATAGTTAAGATCCACACAAGAGTGGTAAGTTTTCTTTCTGGTTCAGCTGAGAGAATTGGTGAATATTTTTTGCGTTTCTCTCCGAAGTACCGGTCTTATTTCGTAACCTTTGATGAACAACTATGCTCTCATATATGCAGCACTTTGTGGTGTCATTAATTAAAATGCGTAAAATATCGCTTAGTGAAGTGGATAATGTGAACAACAATATCTACTGTGATAATGTTCGAAGGATCAAAAAACCTCAACTTTGTTCAACAAAAACGAATTAATCTCCAATGAAAGCAGAACTTCATATCAGCTGAATTTACTGAAATATGCGTAAATGAATAGATCGAATTCCATAAATGTGTCAAATGATTCAATGTGATAAAATATTTCCAGCACGCAATGACAAATTGACAGTGATAATAACAGCAAGAATACGTATTGAATTCACCTCATTTTAAGAACACAAAGTATCACAAAAGCTTATTTTTTATTGTCGACGTAACTGCGCTTATTCACGGTTCGCTTTCAGTTGATTTATTGAACATTAATAATGCTTTTTCACTTCCTCTAATAAGAAAACGAAAAGAACTGCAATAAAATCGTTTGCAAAATGGATTCATTCTATGCACAAAAGTGACAATATTAATGACATTGTTGATTTCGGGTTGTAGTAAGAGATTTGATGCATTATGTATATGTGTTTGCCCTTGAATAAGCTGATCCTTAAATCTCGATTTCATCTGCTTCTATATGATGCACAAAGGGAGCGGATATTTCAGTCGAATTTCTCATTTAAGAAGAACAATCTTAAGGCGAACATCCATCTGAATCGGCAAAAAAATCAATTTTCATTCAAATAAACGGTGAAATGAATGCATTTCAAGGTGGGTAGTTATAAAAGATTGCAAAATGACTTTATTCGTTGAATTATCTCAAAAAAAGCTATTGAACACACTGCGAAAAGATCCAACAACAAAGCAGAACAAAGACAAAATTAAAATTAATCGAATAAAAAATGATCTGAAAAGCAATATAATTTGTAAAAGAATTAATAAACATTCATCAATTACACGACAAAATGAATATACTTCTAAGTTGGAATGAATGACATTCAAAATTTTAAGTCAAATTTATTCTCAAAATATAACAAAATATTTGAGATTATTTCATTTCTTCACAACAAATACTATCAAACCACTATAAATCACTGCACATTCAGTTGAAAACCTCAAATCCACTCAATTCAAACATAAAAACACTTGAGCATACAAATCAATCTTTTCAACGAAAATTTTGGTTGTCAAAAAGTCTCCACATTAAACAAAATTTCTCCAACATACAGTTAAAGTGGGCTCTGCCGATTGATCCACCAACTGAAGTTGCTCTTCAAACGAATCGCCAGAACGCCATCTGCAGAAATTATATCATTTAAATGATTGGAAATCATTACAATCGCAAGAATAAGGCTAACACTGAAGCGAATTAGACGAATTTATGGCAAAGTAGAGAGAAAATTTCGAAATTATTTGTTCTGAAAACTAAACAGGACTCTAATATTAGCAACATTTCCAGACAACGATCGACTGGATATATCTGAATATCAAACACACGTTAACTAATCCGAACACAGACCATTATATCGTAAGAAAACCAACGTGAGAGTTCCAAATTTGGAGGAGATAAAAAGTGAAATAGCTGGAGCTCATACAAAGATACACACCGTGATTTTTATTCTTTGAAAAAAATACCAAGCAAATATTTGCATGAATAAATTATTCGAAAAAGAATCAGTAAACATATTTATGATAGGAAAATTATATAGAAACGATCTGCCAATGGCGATTATCAGCCATATGATACTAAGTATCAAATCGCCAACTGTCAGCTCCAAGCTTGAGATGGTATCAATCATCATGAAGAACAATTGATGGACGATTTGAGCATGTTCCTGAAAAGAAGAACGTTCATTTTCACATGAGAGTGGCCACTGTGTATCAGCTGACGGGAAAGATTTACTAGAATAATATTTTACAATTCATAGAGCACAATATGCACTCAAAGGTGTCAATTGACGAGCGCATCTCAGCTCAAACACTACTGCAAAAATGATAAATGCCCGATATGGTGATAAAGTATGCCCAAAGAGAATAAAATCATGCCCTATCGAAATTATCAGCATAATTTCGCAGTTGTGATACTTTCTCAATCAGCTACACACTGAAGTCATCTTCAGTCTAAGTTTCAGAGGTGAATTTACAATGCTTTGAGGTATTTTGATGAAAGATGTGCGATAGTGCGTAAAAAGTACTTCATAACAATACTGACACCCTCGTTAAGATGAACTGAATCGCTTTACACCTTATTTTGTTCATTTATCTGATCAG